GAAGAAGTTATGATAAGTCATGCATCATGTTCATGAGTCAGAGATTGAGTGTATGAGGAGGATATGGAAAATCAGGGTCGGTTCCATGCTAACCTCGGGGATGATTGAGTGTGATCGAGCTCATATGTGGCTCGGGCTCGCTACCTAAGCCGTGAGACTCTCACTACCAAGCTTGATTATCCCGACTAAAGCCCCGGGGTTTCTCATGATCGGTTGAGCTGGACAAGTAATTATGAGTATACTACCGCAAGGCGGTGAGAGGTTCCGAGTGAAACTCCCGATCCTTCTCGAAAAAAAAAAAAAAAAAAAAAAAGAGAAAGTGGTTTTGGGATCCCCATGGTCTTGCATACTAGGATGTGTCCTAGAAAAGATTAGTGAATACATTGCATTCATAATATCATATCATTTGTGTATTGATTACTAGTATGTTTGCATATGTAATTTCTAATTAACCCAATGTTATTTGCATGCTCTAAGTGAATATAAAGTTGTCTTACCCTTTCTGTGCATGTATTGTTATTATGAAATGTTTGCATAGGTGACGTTGAACACAACTCATCCCCGATATCATCTCCAAGTAAAGTTTAAATACGATCACTGCAAGTACTAAGTAGAAGACTTGATCGGACACCACTACAGTGCTACAAGAGATACTTCATTTTAGTGGACGTACAGAATATATCTCCTCTTTAGTTAGGTTGTATAATTAGTTTGTCTAGTTAGTTTGTTTGCTCTGGTATTGTGAACCCTTGTTAGGTGTATTTTGGGATGACTTTATGTATATTTACTATCTAGTTATACTTGACACTTATGAATGATATGTATATTAATCACTAAGTGTATGTTCTAATTATTGTGTACTTTACTTCTACAAGAGTGTATTGGTAATCAAATACTAAGAGGAACCAATAATAATTAATAAATCATAATAAAGTGAATGTTGGTATTAAAGGTGTCACAAAAGGTACGAGAAAAATTGTAGTTAAAAGTCATTCGGGTATCAAATTAATTTTTGATGTTTTATTGTTCTTGATATTAATCATAATTTGTTAAGTGTTGCTCAATTATTGGAGAAAAGTTATAAGGTGTCTTTTGAACACAAATTTTGTGTGATTAAAGATATAAATAACTTTAAAATATTCAAAGTTCACATGAAAGGAAAAAATTTCACTTTAGATTTGATGAAAGAAGAGTTGATTACAAACGAAAAGTCAAAGAAAAAGCATGAAGAATATTTTTTGAAGAGACTTGATGTTAAGGAAGAAAATAAAGATGTAGATGAAGAAATTGTTTCCAACATCCATCAAAGAGTCAATAATACTACCATGAAGTTTTAAATAAACAAATGAGATGAAGTTGATAAAGGAAGAAATAATTTGATGAAGAAAACAAAGTTAAACGAAGATATAATCCCATACAAAAAGGAAGATGATAAGAAGTACAAAAAAAAAAGTAGGAAAAATTTTATGCAAAATAAAAGGAAGAATATCAAATTCAAATAAATAGATATTAAAGTAAGGAGGAATGTTGGGAATATTACTTTATTATCTTTTATTTAAATTAGATATTAAGAGATTTTATTATCTTTTAAGAGAAAAGATAAAATGATATTAGGTTATTATTTTAATTTAGGCGATTATGATTGAGATATTATTGATATTTGATATTTTGTAATATTTTTACTCTATATATACAACGCTAAAAGTTTCCATCACTCCAAAAAAAGATCATGATATCAGAAAACCAATAATTGTTACAGGAACAATGAAATATCACAAATACCATCGGTGACGATCGATAATACTTTAACAACAATTTACATTTCAAAAAAATTACAAAACTATTCTAAAAAACTATCTTAAAGTGTCAAGATCACTCAATAATGTTAGAATAGATAAAACATAAGAAGTAGGCTAATTTTGAGAATGGAGAGAGTGAAAATCTCACCCTCTGAAATGAGTATTTGAATTTATCTTTTGCACGTCATGTTTAAATATCTTAAAAAAACAAAGTCAGAGAAAGAGTTTTGTATCAACTATCATTTTGTCCCGTTGTTTCATAATACTATTAAAAAAATAAGTTCATATCTTTAAAGAAAAATTTGATGGGTACAAAGATCATATAAAACATAGTTTTTAGTACCTTCCTTATATTCCAAAAAAATAGTTTTGATGACGCGGGGCTAAAATTTAGTTATGTGATTTTTAAGTGTAGTGGCATAAACAAGACAACTAAAAACCTTTAAATGGATCATGCTAGGTGGTTTATTATATAACACTACATAAGGACATTTAAAATGTAATAACGGAGTAGGCAGTCTAATAATGATATGAATAACTTGTTAAACAACATAAGGTCAAAATATGTGAGGTAGTTGAGCGTGGTAAAACAATATTCGAGCTACATTTAAAATATGTTGATTTTGTGTTCGACAACACCGTTTTATTGAAGCATTTCAACACAAGTTCTTTAATGAAGAATACCTTTGGATGAAAAAAAATCAGTTAATAAAAATTCTACTCCATTGTCACTTTGAAAACATTTAAGTTTAGTATTAAATTGAGTTTCAATCAATGAAATGAAATGTATTGAATGCGTATGAGTTTATCAGATTTAGATTTTATAAATTTAATCCAAGTAAAACGTGAGTAATCATCAACTAAAGTGAGAAAATATTTGTAACCTCAATTAGAAGGTACAAAATATGGTCCTCATATGTCTCCATAAATAATTTTAAAAATTTTATGTGACTGTGTTTCACTACTATGATGAGAAAATTTACGTTATTTAGCAAAATGACAAATGTCACAAGGAGAGGGATTTACAGAGTAAGGGATAAAAGGATATTATTGAGAAATAATACAAAAAATAGAGTCAGAGACATGACATAATCTATGATGTCAAAGAGAGGCATCTTTGGGTTTGATAGTAGTGGTATGAGCAGAAACAGGATAATTATTGTGATAAGAATGAGACAGATTTAGCACATACAATCCTTGGTGCAAGCTAGCCGAACCAATTATCCTCTAGGAGGTTTGCTGCAAAATAACACAAGAGTTAGATTAAAAAAGGAGATGACAGTGCAAGGTTTGGATCAATTTTTGAACAAAAACTAGATTTACATGAAAATTGGGAACAAAAAGAACATCATGAAGACTTAGGGAATTAGACAACATAACAGTACCAAATATAGAAGTGGAAACTTGGACAACATTTGGCAAAGTAATGAAAATAGGTGAAATAGATTTAGGAGTGACAAAATTGTGAAAATCAAAAGTGATATGATCAATGACACTTGTATCTAGAAACTACTGAGGAGATTGTTTTACCTAGAAGAACAGAAGGAGTTTTAGGAAGAGTGGAAGAAGAATTAACCGAAGGAGTGAACACCGAAGTTGTTGTATGTGCAGGAGATTTGGATTGTTGCAAAAAAATTAGAATGTTATGATACTGCTCTTCAGTAAATTTAGGCACTGGCCATGAGATCTCATGAAGGTTGGAGATGTTGGTAGTAATAGGATCAGATGGAAAAACACCAGAGGTGGCATTATTGGCCATGCGATTTTTATATCTTGATGGAAAATCATGTTTGAAATAACACATATCCACTGTGATTTGTACGTTCACAATAAGTGCAGAATTTATTTTATTACCATGAGAACTGTTCTCTCCATTATTTTTGTCACGACCCCTTAGAAAGGAATGTCCTCTGCCTCGTCCTCTATAAAAAGGATATGAGTTAGAAACATCATCATTCTTGAATTGTAAATTCGGAGAAGTAGTAGCAGTTAGGGCTTGTGAATCAAGAACAAATTTAGAAGAACTAAGAACATAATATAATTGACATTCTTGCTGCATAACTATGTTAAAAACTTTGGTAATATCGGAAAAAGGATTGATTAACATAATCTGAGATCGTACGGAGGCATATTGATCACTGAGGTCTTTCAGAAATCGAATGGCATAATCTTGCTGCTTATAGCGTCATACAGAATCAAGAGCATCACAAGAACATTTGCTACTATATCTGCAGTTAACAAAGGGACGAAAACTATCGATTTCTTCCCAAAAAAGTATGTAACTCTGTGTAAAATTCAACTACAGAGAGAGTACCTTGGTATAGTTTGTATATCTTTCTATAAATCTGCATTACGAAAAATATCTCCTTTATAAAAACAATGGTATAAATCTTGTCAAACGTTGGAAGCATGTTCGATCCAGAAAATGGATTTAAGAATAGTTTCATGCACTAATCATTGGATTCAAGAAATAACCATTGTGTTGCAACGATTCCAAGATTAGTGAAGAGGGCTGGTTGATGGTGATTCGGAGAGAGTGTCATCAACGAATTTCAACTTATTCTTGGATTTGAGCGTAAATTTCATGGCATGGGCCCAGACGTGATAATTCTTGTTATCCAACAAGGTAGAGACAAGAACGAGAGTAGGGTTTTCATTGGAAGGAAGAAAGAAGATATTTGAGGGATTAATGTGAATGTTAATATAGGATTCGGTCGACATAGGAATGAAGAAATAAACCAATAAATAACATATAATATCATCTTACTAAGTACGATAAAATTTATGTTTTTATTAAGAACTTCTTACATTGAAAAAGGAGTATAAACAAGGTATATATATAATTCCATAAAATAAAAAAGAAAAAAAATGTCATAACTAAAAATAATAAAAAAAATAAGATTTATTATAAAAAAATAATTATGCTAGTACGGTGGAGAAAGATTTTGCTCGAAGAATACATTATTCATGGTACAAACCCAGCATCATTAATTAGATAAAAACTGGAGTAACATATTGGGAAGTTGTCTATGGCCACCTCACACTCCATATTGAATGCACAAAAGCAGTCCCACACCATTTTATATATACAAATAAAAAGAAGGAATCCATCTACTTGAAACAAAGAAAAGCGTAGACTTTGCAAAAACATAAGTGACAAATGACAACTAATCAAGCAAGCAGGTGTCACAAATTGGAACTATGTTCCTCAATTGTTTGGGCATGTGCTGTTCCAAGCTCACAACTAATACAAATTCATCTCGGAGACAGTTTCCAACAGGATTCTGCGACCACCAAAATGAGAAGATTCTTGTATATGAGTACATGTCCAATGGATCTCTAGATAAACACCTTCCAGGTGGGAAACTGTCATGGAAGAAAAGGGTAGAGATATGCATAGGCGTAGCACGTGGACTACACTACCTTCACACAGGAGCCAAGCGCTCCATCTTTAACTGTATCCTCAGAGCCAGTACCATTCTCTTGGATGGCAATATGGAGCCAAAACTCGCAGCTTTCGGTCTCAGCGTACAGGGACCACGATTCAATCCAAAGCCTCAGCCGAAACAGATTAATGTAGATCATATTATAGGTAACTTTTTTCATTTATTTTTTTTGTTTTAGGATCTTACTGTGTTGAATCTTTGTGGGGTTAATGAGATAATACTTTCAATTGCAGGTGTTGTTGGCTACATGCCTCTGGAGTACGTGATGGATGGCACCGTCACAGATAAATGGGATGTTTTCTCATTTGGTTTGATTCTACTACTAGTTGTGTGTGGAATGAATTATTTAAGAATCGTAACAGAAAGGGGATTTCTGGAGAAGCCAATTGAGGAAATGATTGATCCGGACATCAAAGGAAAGATTGCATCACAGTGTTGGGAAGTCTTTGTAGGTATCATGGTCAGATGTTTGGAGTATGAACAAAATGAGCGACCAGCAATGGGCGAAGTGAGGTGGAACTTGAGCATGTTCTGTCCTTGCAGGAACAAGCAGATTTCACAAACACCAACGGTCATTATATCTTATCGTCCAAAACCATTATTTCCCCGGGAGTGAAACAGTATTCGAACACAGAAGAAATGTAGTGATCAAGTTTAATTGAGATACTTGTAGCTGTTCTTGTGATCCCTGTTTCTAGATCTTTGATCTTACCATAAGTTGTCTTTGTAATAATCTTGTACCAGTATAAATTTCAAACTAATGCAAGAAATTGAATGCTAACAAACCAGTAATGATTTGTGAGTTTTTCTAATCCTTATTTCAAAGATTTGGTATCCTCCTTTCATCGATTCCTTTTTTGCTCATTAATAGTAGTTTTGCATCCCTTTCAACATAACATTGTCTATCTTATTATAGTCCAAAGAAAAAATTCTGCATCTTAATTTCCTAACTTTTTTTCCTCAAATATCTCATGAGTGCATAATACTAACATTGGTAAATTTCTTGCTCCCTAAAACTTATCTAACAAAATACACGATCAAATTACCTAATTGTATTTCTTTCATAGGATTCTGCAACCACGGAAACGAGAAGATTCTTGTGTATTAGTACATGTCCAATGGATCTACTGTCATGGAAGAAAAGACTACAATACCTTCATGCAGGACCCAACCGCACCGTCATTCACAGTCACATCTGTTCTGCAAACATTCTTTTTTATATCAACATGCACCCAAAACTAACAAATTTCAGCCTTAGCCTACAGGGAGCACGTTTTATGTCAAAGCCAGAACCAATTAAAACTAAACTACCGGGTAATTATTCTTTTTGTTTATGACCTTATTCACTGAAATGAATTTTTGTGAGTTAAATCAACCTGATACTTTTCACTTATAGATATTATTGGCTACATAGCTGTAGAGAATTACAGGGACGGTATCGTCACAGATAAATGTGATGTTCACTCATTTGGTGTGGTTTTACTACTAGTTCTGCTTGGAAGGGAATCTTTTGTAGATGTAGTAGACCTTCTGGAGGAACCTGCTGAGGAGAATATTGGTCCAAATATCAAAGGAAAGATTGCACCACAGTGTTGGCAAGTATCTACAGAGACCAACACTGGTAAAATAGAAGTTGAAATTGAGCATGGTATGTCCTTGTAGGAACAAGCAGATATCACAAGCACCAATTCTGATGATTATACTTTACTGTCCAAAACCATTATTCACCCAAAAACGGGGAATTTTAGCATGCTCTGCCAGGCAACAACAAGATTATTGTCTGTGAGATTTCTCTATTGTTTATTTCTAAGATTTGGTAACTTCCTTTCTGATGACTAAATGAATTTTCTCCTTACTTTTTTACGTCAGTCTTGCATTGCTTATAACAAAACAAAAATGGTCTTATTATTATAGCCAGAAGAAAAAATAGCTCACAGCATAATTTTCTACCCTTTTCTCATTTATGACACGAGTGCATAATTAAGCAAAATGGAAGACAATTGAGAATTTACAGCAAGAAACATCCCACTTTTCAAGTGTTGGAGAATTTATATTCACACAATACAATCTATTGCTCAGTTGCTTTCACATTCTCACTATATATGAGGTCATTAGCCATAGCAGACAAAATGAAAATTTTGACTTAATTCCAGAGGAGTTCCTCAATCTTAAGAGTAAGAAGGATTGAAAATACAATTAGGGCACAAGCCATTGAAGTGTAATATGTTCACTATATTCATAAGCTTGAACATTGCAAACATAAACTTTATTCTTTCAAGCGCAATATAAATTTGTATAGTCGTGTGAAATGTATCTGCAAGTGTTTCATTACTTTCCCATTGTTTTTTGGAAGTTTACAGTGCGCAATTCTTCTTCATATTGTGAGCCTTTGGTAAAAAAGTGTCCACTCATCTCTCCAAATGTCATAGATCTGAACACTGGAGGAGAACTTGGACTTATCAGAGGCTTTGCAGGTTCTACAAGGGATTCTTTTGTTGGGTTAACGAAATAGGCAACACTGTATCTCCCTCTGCTTGAATTTGTGATAACCGTGTTTAGCAGCAACGAGTCTTCCATTGCTAATGATCTATACATAGCAATCATAGAAAGTTGAACTTCATCATGCAAAACCTTGTTCTGAAGATTACCTTCAGCTAATCAAACTATTGTATGAATCTATCGTAAGAAAAATTATATATTTTTTTTTTTCTTTAAATAATTACAAAAAAAAAAATCCTAAAATATCTTGGTTAAAAAAAAGATATACCTGTAACACAATCCCAATGTTTACGACAAGGGTATTGGGAATTGGCTCAACAGCAATCCATTTCCCATCTTTGAGGACCTGCAGTCCATTGATCCCTACTTGTTGAAGCAAAATGGTAACAAGGTTAGGGTCTTTGAGAATGGATGTTCCTAGGGTTAAACTTGGTTCAGGACAAGGAGGGTAGTAATGAGACAACACTACAGGGTTTTCACTAAGTCCTCCTCAAAAATATTCTGGGTTTAGTCCTAAACCTAATCCTTCACAAAGCAGCTCCAGGATTTTTAGTCCCAGTTTCCTTAGTTCTTGTGTGTATTTCCCTACAACTTCACTGAAAGGTAAGATAATGAGACATGCTAGGTCAAAATTATGTATATATATATATATATATATATATATATATATATATATATATATATATATATATATATATATGAAAGCATTGTATCGTCAACACAATTAGTAGTTTATTATAATTTATAATTACTAATTAATTTATAATGTTTGTCTTAAATTTGTATAAAAAAAAACATTCTAAGATTAATTTAATGTTTGACATTGTATTTTCATTATTTGAGAAGATGAAATAACTTCACCTCCACGAGATATTTTCTTTATATATATGATTTCTAGAATATTTGTATTTGTTGGTCATAATATCTAGGCAAGAAAATGAGTTTATTAAATCCATCGTGGCAAGTCGCTATCAACAAAAACAGAATGGGACGAAACTAAAAACTATGATCCTCCACAATATTTTTTTCATCAACAAAATAAATTTCTAAAATAAACAAACATATATTTTAATTTTTAAAAACACTAAAAAGTAAAAAGTTTACTTAATAAAAAACAATAAAATTAAATATTTCATAGAAATTTCATTTTATAAAATAAGAGATACCGGTCAACGATCCGAGTTGGTATGAATAGATTAGGTATGGATTATTAGACTATCAATTTTGTTATTTAAAACGTTGTTTTAATTACCCATCATCATAAGAAACCCACGACGAGTACGTATGAAAATGGGTATTATAAGTCTAGAAAGCACATCAACGACAAAGAAACAAAACCAACTAGTTAATTTACCGGTATCCAAGGTTTCTCTGGCCAATACTCCATGAATTCTGTGGAAGGTTGACATGGGTGTGATAATGAGTCTTTCCATTTGGATCCTTAGAGCTTTCATGTATCTTTACATCCTCAGGCATGGCATGGAACTCTTTGAAAATATTCAGAGTAGCATCCACTATATCCTTAGAAACTCCATGGTTGATAACCTAGCCAGTTTTTCACAGTTTCAGATTATCCAGATATACAAGTGCACAAAATCAAGCCAACTCGTAACACTATAAAATGTGTAGTATTTCTCATCAGAAATAGTTTATTGGTCGCACAACACCATATGCATGTCATGTAATTAGTTACTAACTGGTATATTACATTTGCAGGAAATAGGAGATTCCAACTCTGCAAACACGAGTGTGCAACCAGTATCCATCATGTCATGCATGAGAAACACATGAGATGAATGAGAAACTAAAGTAAAAGAAATGGTGAATAAACAATATGAACCTGGAAAAAGCCGAAATCCTGGGAGGACTTTAAGATATTCCTTATGATATGAGCTCGATCAGATCATGTCCTCCAAGATCAATAACTGGAACTAACTTTCCAGAGGCGAAAACAGCATCACCAGTTCTTCTTTCTGGTGGTTGCACATATGATGATGGCACCAAAGAATGAAGATTGTACCAGCTAGACACAAGCTTCTGAGCCATGATGTTAAGACAGCATGCACAGATTCTCTCAGGAACTATATATATGGTACAGGTATATAATGAACTTTTAGGACAATTCAACTTTAAATGTTACTTTAATATATAATAAAAATAATTAACTAAACATACATTGATGCAGAAGATAAATTTATAGAGTTCAATCTTTTACTTTACTTACTTGTGTGCTATTTGTTTATCTTATCTTCGCTATCTACAAAAGTAAAGAAAACCATCTATAAAAACTGGAAGTAGTATCTTGATAATTTTTTCTACATAAAGTATGACTATACATCTAATCAATACATTATTAAATGGTATTAATTATGAATGAATTGAAATATTTTTATCATTAAAAATGGTGGTAAGGAAATAAAATTCAACTCATTATACGTAAAAGTAAAATAGTATACTTTTGAGAATTTTTTCTAACCTAAAATGACTTATACTAATCAAATTTAAAATATTTCCATACTTAAAAAATATGTATCTTTGGTATTTATTTTATTTTTTATTTGTAATTTGTAATTTGTATCCTTTTTCCTCAAATCTCTTAAAATAATTTTAATTTTTTTATCTATGATCTACATTTTTGTGATTCTTATAAATAGTTTTATTTTATTTTATTTAGTCGTTATTTATTTCTTGAGGTGAGAAAAATATTTCCAGTATGTTTGGTGTCTTATTATTGAACTCAAGATTATGTAAAATTTTTAAAGCAATTATAATTAACAAACCATTAAATATAAATTAATTAGAGAAAATAAGATGTAGACTCATTTAGAAATTATTTTAGAAATTAAGATTGTCATCAAATTAATTTTTTTCCATTTATAGGTTTCTGAATTAATTACTAAATCAGTTTTCAAAAACTATAAACCAAGATTCCAATTAGTGTATATTTAGATTTTAATTTATTTAGTGCGTAACTATCTAAACTTAAATACCATTAATTCAACCTCAACAAACAATTTTTCTTATAAATTTTACATGTGTTTGCAATACCTTTGTATATGTGTTGCTTAATTTTTATTTTTATTTTTTCTTATGTCTACTTTTGGTGTACATGTGGTTTATCTGTTTTGGTTTGAAGGTTGATGCTTATTTTCATGATGATAAGTTATGGTTACTATGTAAAATGCGAATCAATTGTTTATGCTCTTAAAATATTTTTCTTAATGTTTTATAAACGTTATTGAATTTAAACAACTGATTAAGCTCTTATAGAAGAGTACATAAACATCTTGTATATAAAAACTTTATCAAGCTGATAAAGATGTATGTATTTTATTATTATTTTTTTTTCTTATTGACTTAGTACAACTATATATTTATTCTCATTCAATTTTATGTATATTATGATAAAGAAATTTTCTTACTTTTGTAAAAGTAAATATTTAATAATATTTTTATTTTGGGTTGGATTATCTTTATATATTTTGAGTTTGTCGGGGGTTAGTATAATTTTTATTTAATAATAATGACAATAATAATAATAATATAAAAAAACTACACCTGGAATTTCTTATATTATTGTTTCTACCAATATGATGAATCTTATTATTACAATATACAATTATTATTATTATTATTATAATAATAATAATAATAAATAATATAATAATAGTAATAATAATAATTATTGTTATTATTATTATTATTATAATATGTACCACATATTATGAGAAAAAATTTGAAATATATTTTTATAATAAATTATTAGATTTTTCTTTTCATTCTTAATATTTTTCTTTAATTTGTTCGTCCTAATTTTATTGAGTAATTGGTTCAAAAGGATTTAAATAGTATTTTGGAAAGCAAAAAAATTATGAAACAAAAATAAAATAAAATAATTTATTTAAGACAAAAAATATTAAAAATAATAATTTATTAAAAATATACAAATATTTTTAGTTTAATTAAAAATTATCTTCTTCTTATATAGTTTATCCTATTCTGATATTCACCTAGATTCATCATCAAAACTAATAATATGGAAAAATAAAAAATAAAAAATGAAAAGTAATCATTACAAAAAAATAAATGAAAATAAAGTATTTTCTTGTTGAATAAAAAAAATGACAGAAATAAATCAACTTTCACTGTAATTCATATGTTTT